CCCCAATTCGTTCAATTTATGGATAGTGATTTGTGAAACGTGTGGTTGTCATGCAAAGGAATCGGACCCTTTCTTTTGATAAGTGTTGGCTGCATCTGACAAAATTTTCGGTACAATTCGTCGATTTCTTCACAGTAGGGTTCTGCTGTGATGGTTTGGCCTGGTGATAAAAAGTTATAGTGGATCACACCAGCCGATGACCACCAAGCCGTGACCAGAATCTTTTTTTCGTGAGGGTTCGGCTTTGAAAATTACCTCGGTGGTTCGTCGAAATCCAACCACTGTCCGGAACGTCTCCTGTTATCATACATGACCCATTTTTCATCACAGGTGACAATTCGGCCCAAAAACAGGTCGTTTCTGCTGCGCAAAAGCAATGCAGAAGGAACCTCGAGACGTGCCGATTCCTGCCGGTCACTCCGATTGTGGGGCACCCAATTGTCGAGTTTTTTCACCTTCCCCAGACCATCTGCAACAGTGGATTTGCCAAGGCCTAGCTCTTCTGCTATCTCTCGAACTGTTTGGGATGGGTCAGCCTCCAAAATCCCCCTAAAATCCTCGTCAGATATTGCTTTAGGTCGACCGCTATGAGGTTCATCTTCAAGGCTGAAATCTCCAGAACGAAATTTGTTGAGCCATTGCCGCACAGTGCTTTCTCTAGCACTATTGGGCCCCCACACCTGGTTAATTTGTTGAGCTGTTTCGATTGCGGATTGCCCCAATTTATAGTCGAAGAAAAAAATCGTCCGAAGTGCTCTTTTCACATGCTTGAAAAAATCTTGAAAAAAGGGGGTTTATCAAGCAATGGTGAAACGGCAATTATACCATCAGATAGCGCAAGAAATTCTCTACAGGATGTGCTACTGAGAAGCAAGGCAGAATGAGTTTTTAATCAGCAGTGAATGTACAAAAAATAGGTGCACAAAACGCTGAGAACTTTCCGGACAACCTAATACAAGCCTTTAAGAATGATTTTCAATATCTAGTTGCTGTTAAATGAATTCCTTGCAATATGGAAAGAAGCAGACGGTAACGGCTATACCTAAGGAGAGTGATTCTTCTCTCATTGCCTCGTATCGTCCGATTAGCATAACTCCACCCCATCAAGGTGCTAGAAAAATTAGTTCGCCATAAGATCCTTGCTTGGCTTGTTAGAAGAAATTCGATTCCGCCTGAGCAGCATGGCTTTTTGAGTGGTGCGTCCACAGTAACCCAGCTGGCTGACTGCGTTTTCGACTGGACCTTAGCCGCAAAACTTTAGCCGGAAAATGTCTTGATGTAATTTATTTTGTATTATTATTTTATTTTACCAAAAACCTTCTATAGAGTTAATCACAGAAAGTTGATCGCGAAATTTCAGCTGTGATTTGCCTGCTAGGTTGAAAACACTGGTCGAAGTGCGTATTTATGCAGATGATATTAAAGTCTACGGCATCTATGATAACAAGACTCATGCTGATGTGTTTGATGCTCTTTCTAAGTCTATTGCGAATATGATGGAGTGGGCCTCGGCTTGGGATATACCTGTGAACCTTTCTAAAACCATGTCCTTTCACATTGGCAGAATAGAGTACTGGGACTATTCGTTTGGCGATTTCACCCTTAGCACCTCTCATGAAGTTCGAGATCTTGGAGTTCTTCTGAATGCTGAGCTTAGTTTTGCCACATTTCAAAGAGGTTGTTCGGGAAGCTTTCTCAGCACTTTTCGCCATTCGCCGAAACTTTCGATGCAAAGACCACCTAATCCTTATTCAACTCTACAAGGGATTTGTCATTCCTGGATAAACTATACAAGGGATTTGTCATTCCTGTGTTAGAGTACGCTTCCCAAATTTCGGAGTCCTAACAGCAGTAAACTTCGCATTGAATATTAGAAAAAGTACAACGAGTCTTCACAAGAATCCTGTTTCACAGATGCCAGCCTAGTTCCGGGTACACTTTTTCTAGCATTCCAAGGTACAATGAAATGATTAAAAAATTTTAATCTCAAGAGTCTCCTTTACAGGCGCGTTTTTAATGACTTAGTATTCTGCTACAAGGTTTGAGAGGAGAACTAAAAATCAAACGAGTAAATATTGGGTTTCAAGCCATGTCGTGGCCGCAACACCAAGCTGTCCCTTCATATAAGAGTTCTGATGGGTATTTCCAAGCCAAGACTCTTAACTCCCTTTTTTCCGAGGCGGAAGATGGCTGCAGTTGCTCCCATCTGACGTTTTGGAAGCAGGCAATATATCGGCCTTCAAAAGGAGGCTGAGTAGAATTGATTCTATTATCAACTCTTGGTATTACAGATTTCTAGTTTTCTTCCTAAGGTCGTTCTGGATATGTAGTACTCACTCCTGTAGGTTTTGTGGGCAACTGTGAATTTTGGAGTCTACTCCTTCGGAAATTTCATTCTTGTGGCATATTACCTACCGAGTATTGTTTACTAATCCTTCTTGGTGCTCTCCTTGTTTACTTTTAGGTTTACATTTACTTTTTGCCTGCTAGGATGGGGCAAACGGTCGGTTCTTGCGGGAATTGTATTTTTACTGTGTTTTTCTTTTCAGTTTCTCTCTTTTTTTGTGTTTTGTTTCTTTTTGTTGAATTGTAACCTCGGTTCCCTGCCATGGTTTCATTTTCTTTTGTGCTCACCTAAAGTTCCAGAGTGCTTTGTTTTGTCATTATGGTGCCAGCTGGGTACTTTGTGGACGGTACTATATTCACTGCTCCTGGCTTTCGTCATCTAAATGTGTGTGTCAGATAGTTTAGAGTTGCCTGCAAGCCACATGAGGTTTTGTCGTCTTGTTTGCTTCTATCCAGCATGTCAGTTCCACGTGGGATGTTGGTGTACCCGTGTTCCGAAGTGCTGGCATGTACCGATGACTTCCTTTGGAACGAGGCACCTTAGCCAACTGGTGTGGATAGTTGTCACGTATTTTTGTTCGTTTAGCTATGCTTGCATGCCCTTCTAACAGTCTAGCACGAGGCCTACAACAAAACCTCCGCAACTGCCTAGTTTTCTTTTCCCTTCTTTAGCATTCAAAAACTATTAAATCAAAACCAGCTCCCTATCAAGCCCTACTTGCACCACAGTGGCTTTCATTCATAAATGAGTATTCTGCTAGGTTTTTTTTGCTTTACTCTCTTTTTAGGCACACTATTATAGTGTAAATTAAATAAATAAATGAACAGAGAAGAGCACGACCGCAAACGAGACGAGGTAAAAAAAACTCGATGGCCAGAGCAAGTTTGGAATTTAAGTAAGCACACAAGATCAATCAAATCAACAGTAAACAAAAGCGTAATCAAACCCGGAAGCTGATTAAATGCAGATTCGAGAAATTTGGAGAAAGTTCATTGAATAGGCGATATCGGAAATCGGAACTGAAAGCGGAAAAAAACACTCATAAACCTAATTCGTTGCATCTCGTGATCTCTGATAAGCTTAACACGTTGACGACATTCTGAGCCACCGGTGGCTCATAACTTTCTCCATCACTTTTCGGGTTATTGCCGGCAGTCTCAATCGATCTTTTTCTTGCTTTCGAATAACCTGTGAAAGGTGAATGTCCAACAGGGATGAGCAAGAAAAATGTTGCTGCCTCCATGGGATATTTTGAATTAAAAATTGAAATTTTTCAACTAGCTACTGCTGCGGCAGAAACCTCCAAAATAGTTCTTTTTGGACGGAACCTTGGCTGCAGGGACTGCGCGGGGCTTTGATCATGAACGTGAGATCTTATTTGTCGTTGGCGCCATATGGCGCCAGATCTTATTTGTCGTTGGCGCCACAGGGCACAGATCTTATTTGTCGTTGGCGCCACATGGCGCCATAGAAGCCATCTCGGCGCTAGCAACCTTTTGGCATTGAATGCGATAGAAACTATTTGACATCCTCATCCATCATCCTTGTGACGAATAGCGTTGCCTTCTAGTGTTGGCACCATCTGGCGCCAGCGGGCGCCACTGTGGCGCCAGCGATCTTTTTCACACCGACTATGGCGTGAGCGGCTGTGTGTAGCCGTCTATGAATCGCCTAGAAACAGAAGTTACGGTACACATTTTGGGAATCACGATCGCGCTAAAAAGTGGGCGTGATCGCAAAGGGCGGGGCATGAGATGGCATCCAATAGGGTCAAAGATGATTGAAACAGCAGTCCCTGCACGACTGACTAAATGGACAATATGAGCAACCGGTGGCTCAAAGCGGACGCATGCGAAAACACGCCATTGTTCCACGCGGCGCTTTCCCGCAAAACGCGATTGTCGTCAGAGTTTTAAATAGGCATCACGACAAATGGAAAAAGGTGAACCAGTTGTTCATTCATGCATTAAGCGTTATTCAAGTGCATTTAGCAGTCTCTTCACCTTCAGGATCATTGGTCACGGCTATGATATAGATAAATAGTCCTAAAGAACATGTATATGACATATGTATATGGCGTTAGTCAAGTGATGAGAGGCGGCTCTGTCACGCGCGTGATTACGGGTACGGTCATTATTCTGAAGTCAAACGACTCATCAGTACCTTACTGCTCAATGAAGACTCATTAAGCATAGAAGGGGAGCGTATTTAGAGATGATTAGCCAAACAGATTTAGCCAATTCTGCTCACGGAAAAAAGAGTCAGTCAAAACTGGCCAGATTTTCGATGATTGGGGCAGTAAGGGGTATAGTGCCCATTCTTGGCTGTTGATTTCTTGTTACTGCTTCAAGGAGCTTATTTTTGTACAAGAGGAATGCTCTCCAACGAATACGCTTGCCTTGAAACATGGCTTTATTATCCGAACGAATGGCTGACCCGAAGTGAACCTTCATTCATGGCAGAAACCTATTCATCACTCACATTCATCACAATGATGTTCAATCCCAAAAAGATGTTTTTTGCACCTGCTGGAAGTCTTCGGATAGTGTGGCAAATTCAACTGCCAATAATATTCTGCATGGAGTTGTCCACAATGGATCCCTTCGTAGGAACATTCTTTGGCGGCATTTTCGAGCATAAAGTTGCACAATTGCTTTATAATGCATAGAGACCATTGTAGGAAAAATAAACAGAAGACGCGGCAAGGATCCAAACCCTCGACAATGTTAGACCTGCAACGTATCCATTCGGCCTCGCCGCTCAAACGATGATGCCTCACGCCGCTAATTCGTATTGAATGCCACTATGCTCCCCCTAAAAAGACCCCGTAACTTTGTTCTGGGAGGTCCGCAGCAGATATGGAAGACGGTTTCGTAATCCCCGTCCAAAGACCTTCAGTCGGTATACATCTCATTTCAAATGGCCACTTCGACCTACCATCCTTCCCTTGTTAGATAATTAGGATAGGTATACTGTACCCCAGAACTGGTCTTGAATTTAGGAGCTTGGGTACCGTTAGAGCACAAAACAGCCCTCATCGCGCGCTTGCGAGCACTATCGCCACGGCACAGGTCTGCGAATAGAGGGGGGGGGGGTAACCGCATCGCCCTCACTTCTCAGCCTTCCCTGAAGCTTTACCCCACTTTGATTTTACGCGCAGTCTTAGGATACTGTATGCTTCTTGCTCTCCGAAGCTTATGACCTACGTTTCCTGGACTATCCTCCAATCGTCTACGTGAGTTTAGCTAAAACACAGAATGATGGCTAGAACCTGAAGGTCTCTGGGCGAAGCCATGAGTCAAGCCAGAAAGATCGTGGGTAGGATAGTTGGCAAGCAACAGCCAACAGAGTGAGACGAGTTACGTCGCAAGGGAGTGCAACGGGAATGCCGAAATAGAGGGAGGGGGCCCAAAAAAAGTGACTACGACCGAGTGACATATTAGCAGCCCAAAAAAAGTCACTTCGACCGAGTCACATATCAGCAAAGTTTTCGCTGCCCAGACAGAGGACGTGGATACGAGTACCAGGGCGGAAGATACCCAAGATGTTCCTCTATAAGCAGGAGCTGGCTCTCGCCCATCACCTTCATGTACACCAAAATATGAAGTCATCTCCAGTCGCAGCCTGACTGGAGAAGACCTTTGGAATTCATGTCACCTCCAAACAGCTGCGAAACTTCTAGTATGGAGTCACCCATGGATAGCTACCTGGAGACCAGTACTCTCGATCTGGAAGACCATCGAGCAGCTCCGACAACGTCGCCACGGTCTAGGACATCATCTTCACCACAGTCGCCAAGGCGCGGGTTGATGGTATGGACCGGACGTACCTGGAATGGAAAGACCAATATTTTCTTCGTGGACCCCGGACTGAAGGTGGGCGGTTACATCGAGCAACTCGAGAAGAATATCCTCCTCACATGTCGTCGCCCGTACCTTCTTGGAAACTTTGTACTGCTACAGCATTGGGTGCCACCACATGGAATCGAAGGGCGTTGGAGAAACTCTCGCCTACTTGGAATGGAAGGGGGCTGAGTACCTAAAGAAGATGGAATATCCAAGTAGGTCACCTGACCTGAATCCCCTCAATTACCCGGTTCGGGCGGAGTTCAATAGGGTGGTCTACGGTGGCGGAGAAATCGACTATCTCGCTGATCTCAGGCATCGCGGTCGCGTGCCAGAATCTCTCGATGGCGCTCGTCCAGAAGGCTGTGGCGGAGTGCCATGATAGTATTAGGTTGAGTCGATATGGCTCGGACAAATGGTAGTGATGATTTCTAGAGATCATAACTCAGCAACGAGTGAACGAAAATGGACGCGCGAGGTACCGTTGGAAAGAATATAAAAAGCTCTTCAAAATGCAATCAAACAAACACTCCAAACTAGTTTCATTCCGCCACCATGCCGCACGATTTCAAGCCGTCCAGAGACCACCTCCGCAACGTCATACTCTTTCTAACGCTATCTGGCCAAGAACCCGCGGATATCGACAGACGCCTAAAGGAAGTCTACAAGGAGCATGCCCCCGCTAGAAGTACAGTCTACTTGTGGCATTCGAAGTTTGCGTCGGGCAACTATTCCATCGAAGACGAAGACCATGCGAGACGCCCGAGGGAGCTGGATTTGGACTCGCTGCGGAAACAGGTGGAAGCCGATCCGTATCAAACCACTCGAGATATGGCGACCGCTCTTGGGGTGAGTCAGACTACTGTCGTTCGCGGCTTGAAGTCAATCGGCAAGGTGCTGAAACTCGGTCGATGGGTACCCCATGCTCTGACGCAGCGGGACATGGATCGGCGGTGCGAGGTCGCACTTTCGTTGCTCACCTTCAAGCGCCACCACCATTGGCTCGACGAAATAATCACTGGCGATGAGAAGTGGGTCCTCTACTCTAACTCTCACCGCCGT